CGATTTTTTTTGCAGACTTGAGAGGTTGTTCTTTTTGGTTTTCTAATAATCAGATAAAAGTAACCATTGACCGTAATGCATACAAGACTATGGCGGTGTCTACATAATGCACTAAGTATGCTATTAAACTGTATATTAATGGTGCTGTCGTCACCAAACTAACAACGAATAGCAACATACTCATCTATAAGTTCTTTACCCGTAACACGAATAAATATCGACATATGACGACCCCCGCAGCTTGAGTGGTATATCAAACTAGGTCCAAGGCTCGTATCCCGGTGGGGCAAATGTTTGTATGATGAAAACGGGCATTTGTACCTAAGCCTGTTTATATGTATTTATAAATAAAAATATAATAAAATATATACACACAACAAAAAAGTTTGCGATCACTTTGCAAAAATAGATTGTTTTTTGTGTTACAGAAGACTTTTTTGTTATTTCTTTTTCTGATAAGATTCTTAAGGATATGGAAAACGGTGGCCCCAAATGTAATAAGTTGAGATACAATCTAAAAAAATATTCATATTTTTTTTATTTAAACATATGAAAAATCACTTGAATTCTCAATCTGGAAGCGGAGAAATATGAGGAGGATAGTTTTCCCTTCCGAGTAAACCATGGGCACCAATTTGTACTGGTTGACGATAATTCGCTCGCACATCGAGCTCAACAAGTCAATGCTGCTCTCCAAGATTAGGAAATCACAGGGTTAGATTGGCCTGCCGGCTCTCCTGACTTTAACTCAATAGAGCACGCGTGGGATACTCTTAAGCGAGCTGTTTGGAACCGGCAGCCACCACCCCAGACAATACCGCAGCTCAGGGAAGCTGCTGTTCAAGAATAGGACAGGTTACCACAAGAAATGCTGGATAACTTCATCCTCAGCATGCCCAGGAGAATCTCCGCATGTGTTCGAGCCTGAGGAGGAGTTATATTGTTTTAGATAAACAACACTTTATTAATAAAAGGTTTTAAAGTTTTGTAAAACTATCTTTTTATTTCTATCAAAGTTCTATTACAATCGCCTTAGGATTGAATTGTTAAATTTTTTATACTAAATATAAAACTAGTTTTATTTTTTAATCTCAGAAAGCATATTTTTAAGTAAAAAAAGATATAACTTAAACATTTTCTTTTGATTAATAATATATCAGCTTTTGCAAGTGATCTCAAACTTTATGATTTGTGTATGTATCAGTATATGTAATCTATCCATTACCCTAGTATCCTGTAACAAGCTTTACCGTGCTTTTTTTGGTGCTAATGGTGTGTGTTAGAAATATTTAATGCTATTATTGTTTATATATATTAGAATAGTTGAATTCGATTCCGATATGAGTCTAGATGAAAAAAGTTTTTTTACGGAAGTTTTTCATTTTCGTTAGGTCGTTCGTTGTGCCCCTTTCCGTACAAAACTTCCTGACTTCTTGAAATTCAATTCAAATATTCGAATTCAATTGGTTCGTGCTAAGGGTACTGAGCTCCATCTTATTTGCTTCTTTGATTTCGGACTCTCAGTCGTAGTGCTACGGCCTTGGTTATGTATTTTTTGAATAAAGATTATAGGACGAGAATATAGACGAGATAAAATATATCCTAAGCAGCAAAAGTAAGAAGGATTACACATTCAGGCTCTAATCACGAAACACCATTAATGAACAGGACTTTTGCTAACATTGTATTTACCGGGAAATAATTTCTTCGTTCGTATGATTTTCGTGTTATCTCCGTCGCGTTTCCTGTCAAACTTTTTTCCCGGTAATTCGCTTCGTTTGCTATGATCGAGGTCGCTCCGTTGGTAATAAGCGCGAATGGAAGGGTTACAACGAGCCCTTGGCCCAGAGGCTTTATATATAAACCGCTAATGTGGAAAACTTGTTAGGATTCTTTGGATTCCTGAGGTTTCTCGCCAGTTCAATATTAGAGGTGTTTTTATATAACGCCCACGTAATACCGAGTCAAAACGTTAATAGGTATTGAGGTTGCTGACAGATCCAGAATTACTTTCTTATTTGTAAAGAAATTTATTCTAGGAAAAATAAACAATTTGCTTCAGCTCTAAGAATGTTTTTTGGGTTCCGTTCGTACGTAAGGCCTCAGCTATTCTTCAATTAGCTGGTAAAAGTATTTTCATAAAAAGTTTCAGGATAATTCTACACTTATTTTTGTTTCGCTTAAAGAAATAAATAAAATGTAATTTTATCGGCTTTTCAACTTTATTAGAAATGCTAGTATGAAACTCTTTGTGTGCGATTTCACTCTTATTTGGCCGATTTTCTAATAAAATTTCATTTAATAATAAGATGTTTGAATTTGTATTTGTCGTTCTTCTTATTACGTCACTTTTAATGCCTGGTGGTAAAAAAGAAACAGTCTGAACATCGAACAAAGTATTTAGACATTTGTGACGATCCAGCAAACATAAGCTTTTGCATGACGCTCCTTTTATTTATTAAATTTGTTTGGAAATAGAAATAGATTCATACTTTGGAAATTACCACAGTCTATTGCGGTTCATAAGATTATGACCCCCCTCCTTCTATATAAATCATTTTGTCAATTTGTCTTCTAACAATGACCCGTCTTCTAAAATTAGAATTGTTTTGGGGGTCAAAACAATTCCAATTTTAGAAGATCGTGAGAAGGTCATTGTTAGAAGATAAATTGACAAAATGATTTATATAGAAGAAACAATAAGGGAAATGTGGCGAACCAACCTTCTTAAATATTTTACTAGTTATGAATGTTAATTAGTTTTTGATATTTACACTTAGTTTTTTACTTGGCATTTGCTTTAATTCATAGATGTTCACCCTTTGCTACGTAACTAAAACATGTTTAGTGAGAGATTTGAAAATCTTTTGCACTCAAATGATGGACCCTGCTAGCCAGAGATAGAAAAAGTGTCTTTCCAACACTACATTTGAATGCATCTATTGTCTATTCGAAATGTGGTGTTGGAAAAAATTGCTCAGGATACCCTGTACAGTCAGGCGCACGGATGTATCTATTCTATTCTAACATCAGAAGATGTATAATCAGCGTCTTTGAGGTCGCTTTCATACGTTGACCCTTAATTTGAAGAGGAGACAAGGGTCATGAAAAGTCAATCAACCAAAATATGACAATGATAAAGCGCGTCAAAGTTTGGGAGAGGGGGTTCGTGACGTCATTTCTAACTACAAAATGTAACAGGACAAGTTTTGATTATGTGAATAAAGAAAAAACACGTGTCCAATACTTTTCGATAATGTACCTGTTTGAGTTTTAGTTACAAAGGGGTGTATTCGCGGAATGGAGGGCTTGCATTGAAAATAAAATTACTTAATTATTTTTCTTTTTCAATATATTCACCTGCTAGCCTAATTCAATTTTCAGATCTTTCAATCAGATTATGTATACCTTCATGAAAAAATGTTTTATCTATGTCTGAAAAATCAGCTGAAACCACTTCCTTCACTTCTTCATCAGTTGAAAATTTCTTTACACGGAGTTCTTTTTTTATTTTTGGAAAGAGGTTATAATCAGTGGGAGCCAGGTCTGGGCTGTACGGTTGTGCAGGGCAGCCAACGCAATACGGCTTTTGTAAACAGGCACGTTATCGTGAAGAAGAAGGACAACTTTTAATGATTCCTTTAAATCTCTAGTAGATATATAGATATTCTCTGGTTAAAGAAACACCTTTATCCCTTCCGAATCCCAAAACTCTGTTGCCATGATTTTTCCAGCCGATTGTGACACTTTAAACTTCTTGGGTGGTGGTGTGCCATTTTTGTGCTACTGCATTGAGCCCTGTTTTGACTCAGACTCATAATGATGAATCTAAGTTTCATCTCCAGTAACAATTTGACTTAATAGTCCACCCTTATCTTCGTTACAGAGGTCCAAAAACGTGCGAGAACACTGATGCGGCGTTGTTTTTGAGGCGGCGTGAGCATTCTTGACACCCATCTGGCACTGATCTTTGTCATGCCAAGATGATTGTGTAGAATATTGAAAATTGTCGTATCCGATACTCCAACTATTCCTGCAAGCTGTTTCTTCTTTGTTCTGGCATCTTCCAATATTATTTTATAGACTTTTTTAATAATTTCCGGAGTAGTCACCTCGATCGCCCGTTCGGGCCGCGGGTCGTCTTTAAGTGAGGTCCTGCCTTGTTTAAAGAGACTGTGCCACTTGTAAATCGTGGTTTTACCCGGGAACGATACTCCGTAAACAGATACCATCTCTTCCAGTATGTTTTAAACTGACGTTCCCTGCTTGGTAAGGAACTTTATTACGGCACGGTACTCGATTTTTGCCATAATGGTCACTTTCTTCCCGATTGATTTGTTTGCTTGACGATAGTTCAAAGACTTATGACCCAATTTAGAGAAAACCTGGTATTTATACTAATATTAAGTGGCTGAAGTCGTGGCCACCCCGATAATGACCTATTTTTATCATCTACCCTCCCATTCCGCAAACTTAAAAACGCACCCTCGTAAATAGAGATTTGGCAAAATGGCTGCAAGTGGACCTTTGTGATAAAAAAAACATCGGTTTTATCTGGTTTTTATGACATTTTTATTTTGTTTTTTATTATAATGAAACTGTCATTATGCAACAATTTCGATTCGATGAATCAATAAATATTAAAATATATGGTAAACTATAAAATATACCATGGCAATAAAAAAAAGCAAAAGTAAAAAATAAGCATCTCGAAATGAATACCTATTCAGAGTTGATTTCTAAATATAATCATTAATTGTTATTCTTTAGTGTTGATAAAACCAAAATACATTTGCTATGAACAATTTATGAAAAAATACTTTCTAAATCAATTGAAAATAAATTATATACGAGTAAAAGCACGCAAACCGAATCTTTTAAGTTTTATTTATCTTTCATTGTTTTGAAGTATGTGATAGAATTAATTTATATAAAATAATATAGATATTTTAATATGTATTGTTTTTAGCAAATAATATTACTTTTATATAGGTACTTACCAATTTAATTTGCGGTCATCCCCAAACAACACAAACAGAAGAATCTACATTTGGGACACTAAAAAAATTTACTAAAAACACTTAAAATTACATTTGCACTATCACTTTGGATATAAAAAAATACTAAAATTTATCAGATTGATTTAGAAAATTTGGACTAAAATTATTTGGAGGAATGCCTCGAACTCGTAAAGGCTTCTCGCGGGTAGAAGCGACGGCTCTGTTCTGGTTTCGGGGTCGTTGTTTGGCAGCGCATGCGTACCAACTCAGTTCTCCGTTTCAGTCACCGACACAACTGCTTACCGTGTTACACAGCACCGGTATACCAGTGGAGTTTGACGACACTGTGTTCACATTCGCCTGTAGTTGGAATAAGCGCTCTTTCCGGCTGACAATCTGATAACTCTTATTCTCAGAGGTGTAGAGAAGGTTTTATCCTGTCTCTTTTACTAAGTGTCGGCATAGTCAATGCTTACATACGGTTTCCAATCGAACGCAACTATTCAAGATATTTATTTCTTAAGTGGGATTTTGCAGGAATTCTTTTTTTAGTTGTTTTAAGTGGCCACTATTACCTATAGACGTTTGCAAAGTCATTCTCGCGTAGCCTACTTTGACCCCATTTGTGTTACCCCATGGAACTTTAAAACCGTATCTTTGATTAACATTATTATAAATGTTACTTTTACTGCAGTCTTCTGTTAGTTTGGGGCTACTTCCTCAAACGGGCGCTTAAATTTGAGTGAAACAAACGCTGCGCCCTCTCTCTCTCTTACATATCAAAACCATTAACAAAAAAAAAAGACGGGTTGCACTCCGGGAGTGCCGGCAGAAGTGAAAACTTGAATATTAACGTTGTGCATTTTTGATATTTTGGAATGGTTAGGGAATAATTTTCCAAGAATTTCTTTAATTTTATCAATATAAAAGTACTATCATTTATGTGGTAGAATACGATATTTATTTTTTGCGCTATCGTTCGTACACAAACATGACAATTTATATTACATTAAAAAGTTTATCTCTCGGAAATCAACTTACATGAATCACATTTAAGCGCACCTAGCGACATCTATTGTAAAAAAATGCATTTTCTTCGCAATAAAGCTGCCACCTGGACGTCCCAGATAGAGACTTATTATTATAATACGATAAAATAAAATATTACTACGTTTCGTCCAATATATAGAAGGTCAACCTCCTTTCCAATTTTATTGTTTTCGTCTTACGCCTGTCCTGATGCGAGCTTAACATTTTTTACCCATTACACAAAAAAGTATGCAACGCCGTTAAAGAAGTTTTCACTTCAAAAAACTTACAGTTGTTATTTAAATTCCAACTTAATAAATCATTAACTGTTAAAGCAGAATAAACAAATATATAAAATTTAAAAGCTGTCGTGAAATATGTATTCTTTTATAATTTTTATTTTTTAAGCATGTAACTGCTTGACGTTTAAATCTAAAGAAAATATAACTAGAAACAATTCTACGCGGACCAGGCAGCAGACGGGATGGGACGGGATATGTATTCGTTGTTAAACGTGAGAGTGTTTTAGGTGAGGTAGGGCATAGCGGGTTTTCCGCTCGAATTGAAGCGCCAGTCTGGAGATGTAACTTCCACCTTACAGAAGATCTCAGTAAATTAACACTACCTTTTGGTGGTGTTGTGTTTCTGACGGGGAGTTATGTTCCAGGGCTCCACGGGGTAGGGGATTGGGTCAGGGAAGGCAACGGTGCGAGTGAAGCATCTATAGTCAATGGTAGCCGCTTACCAAAAGGCGAGCCAAGCGCTTTAAACATAAAAAAAAACGTAAGTGATAATCGTTTTCAATGATAGCTGGCGTCGTCGTAATAAAATTTTAATCCACCAAATGCTAACGCTGATTCTAAAATTTAAAAATAAGCAATTACTTTACCTATAAATATGTTTTGCAAGCTTTTTAAATCTTTAGGATAAATCCTACGTTTGATACACATAAAACTTACCACCATCCAACAACAAGTCAATGCAAACAATCAGAGCACGCGAGCACACACTGATACACAAATAATATGTTTGATCACGGAAACGCACGACAAATATTTGCCGCATTCACTTTTACGCGTGCTCCTTGAGCGACATCTGTTTGTGCACTTTAATAAAAAAATCTCTGTATACCTTTCTATCTAGGACTATTTAGATATAAAAAAATAAACATAAAATCTCTACACAATATGCGGGTTGTAAAGTAAATGTATTATAACATTGATAATGACTATTTTTTTTCTCCGTTTATCATGTAGTTTATCAAAAAGTATTGGACACGTATTTTTTATTTTTTCACATACTATAAACATTGCAGAGATATATTGATTTGAAAAGTCGCATGACGTCACGTTTTGGTACAATTTTCACTTAAAAGTGATGTCACGAGCCCCTACTCCCAAACTTTGACGCGCTTTAACTTTGTCATTTTTTGGTTGATTGCTCAAAGGAAAAATACGTGTCCATTATTTTTTGATCATCTAACTGACGGACTAAATAGAATTTCGTTTACTGTACCCCGTCATCACCCCTATTAAAACACAGGATTTAAGCTTTGCGTAAAACCAAAAGGGCAAAGTTGAAATCTTTTTGGCCTGCATTATTTTAATGTTCTGACCCGAATATGTATTGTACCGGCCGATAACGCGTACTGTGTAGACTATATATATGATTTTGTTAATATGTAGATGGCATTTTGAGGCAAGAATCAACCTACGAAATAGTGTATTAACCTCATAATATTAGCGTAATGGCCTAGACAGACGAGAAACTTTTATTTAAATGTCCCCTGAAAGTTTGGAAAAGCGCCCGCTATGCAAGTAAATCTTCTCAGATTAAGTTGTGTTGTATGTAATAATCATGAAGTTTAAGAAATAGAGAAGATGTTTTGGAAGTGAACACTGGATCTTTTTCTTTAAATGGAATTAAGCGCGCAACGCAGAGGAAAGTTCGCTGTGTGCGTTACTGCGCCTACCTACATGCGTTCTATGTTTTCGCGGACACCCGTGTACATTTGTCCTGTCCGGTATCTCAGTGTCCTCGATTGTTCGGGGGACTTTTTGTACGCGATACTTTTATTTCGCCGTGAGTCAACGAACGGACAATTGTCCCCGGTCTGCCCAGGCCATTACTCAATTATAAATGGAAAGTCTTTTATAATAATTACCTTCGGAAAAGACATTGTTGACCCAAGTCTTATTTAACGGATCTTATATCTAGTCGGTTGCCATAAAGTTCGTTAGTAGGCAGAATATATCCCACCATTAGGGAATAATTGGCACGAGAAAGAGCGCAAACATTATTCGGAATGGAAAGATTCTCGTCCTAATTGGAATTAATGGGAAAATGTTTGTTAATAATGGAGAATCAGACGGATGTATTCTTATTAGGAATGGAATTAGTGAAGTTCTTTTATGAGGAAAGGAAAACAGCATTATGTTTCTCTCACGCAGGCTGACCTGGCGAACTTCACTTTATTTAATTTTTGTCCGATTAAAAAAAGCATTTAATACAAACTTTGTTCTGACTGGACCCTAAATTAACACACAAAAAAAATACTTTGGATAAATTGAACAAATTACACAATGCCAATACGAACAAAGGAATTTGTCGAATCATTCCTTTGTCTCACTTTCCGCAATGGAAGCGGCCTTACCCGTGCTTACAATTTCTTCTTCTTACAACCACATTTCCAATAGAGTGAAAAAAAACAACTTTCAGAACAGTAAAGTGAGGATGTTTAGTGTGGCTGGTAAAGCTGCTGAACCAGATATACGTAGTAGTCCAACATATAATATACATTAACACCAGATAGGGTGAAGTTACTTGCTCGGATAAATTTAACAAAAAAGAAACAGAAGGGCTAGAGATAAATAGTAAAACATAATTTACTGGGTAATACAGCTTCAAAGGTGCAACAGGTGAGATATGCCATTGCCTTTGCTCCAGCGCTGCACTGGTTTGCAATTTTAAATATACTGGAAGAAATCTGACAATTCCAGTCTTGGTAGCATAGCATCTAGTGAATCCAGCCTAACACCTTGGATTTTTGTGGTAGTAAAAAGTTTTTCTCTTCGCGTTTATGGTTACGTAGGCAAACGAGCTATCAGACTATTTCTTTGGACTGCCACAGGCTGACTGATTCGATAATTCCGTTGCTGCGCTTCCCATCGCGGCTGCAGTATGGCTCTGATTTTCTAGGATAGCGTTGCCTTTATATAGCGGCCGTAATACAGTTGTTTATGTAAACAATATGGCGCGGTTTCCTAGATAGAGGTAATATTCTTTTGGATCTTTTTGCGTTCTTAATATTACGGTTGCTAAATAACGGCGTCGCTATCCTAGGAAATTAGAGCTTATAAATTGTACCGCGATGTCACGTCTGGGTTCGATAAAACGCAATGAGTTGTAACTCACCAAACCTGCTTAAAAAGTCTTGAACACATCTCCGATCGACTAGAATTGGAATTCTGATTGGTCCAAAGTTTTATTAATACTAAAAGTTTTGATAAATTATTATTGAACTTTTGATTATGTCACCAAGTTCAGCCACGACGTTGCGACAAAGACTGTTCATTCGAAAACGACATTAAAACGCAATATTTGAAATAATAATTAACTTTTCCAATTACAAATTTTTTTTCTGATTGGCAGATTACGAATGTCTTTATTATCTCCGAAAACAGTGATTTGAGATATTGCGTTTTGAAGTTTTAAAAAATCATAGGAGCTACTTTTTCAAATGATTAAAATTATACCTTGATTTAAACGTACATTATCATTCTTACATCCGGTTTCTGAAACGCATGTCAAATATTGAATTAGTTGACAGACTGTCATAATTAACTATTTGTTGAGCAACTGTGGGTTTCTGAAAAGATATTTACCGAAAAATTAACGAATCTACTGTTAAAGCAGGATTTATTTATTAGTCTGGCCACCCTAGCTAAAACCAGTCACTTTCATTAGATCATTCATGTTTTGTTTCTGTCTAACGCATAGCTTTGTCTCTATCTTTTGACAACTTATAAGTGACTTTTATTTAAAAGTCTGAAAATTAAAAGCGATTGTGTGTACCGAAAACATTGAAATTTATTTTCATTTGTAAAGTTTTTACATAATATGTCACAAAAAAACTATACGGAGCGAGAAAAGAGGGAGCTTTTAACAATAGTGGATAAGTAAGTACCTAATAGGTACAAATCAGT